GAAGGTCCTTGTCTCTCTGAGCTTCTCTTCCTGGCTTTTAGATCTCAAACCCCAACTAACCTTGTTCATATACAGAACAAAGACAACACACTCCCAATGGTATTGTGGCCACAGGCACAGAGGTTAGGATTTACAACACAGTATTTGGGGCTGGCTGTAATTTAACCCCTGGCACGCAAGCCACCATGAACTGGGTCTCTTGTCTGAGGTGGCCTCAAGGCTGGGTGAAGATGTCCTAGACATTATCTTCATAATTCCTGCCACATCATTTCATATTTGTCTCTAAACCAGTTCAGTCTTTCTTTTCTATAAGCTAAGTGAATTTCTTCAAGGGAAACTTTCAATCATACTTAGACACGAGAAACCACAAATGCAAAATACCCCAAACGAAGATCGTGAAAGTACAAGTTCTAAACTCCAGCTTGCTAATGTTGCCTGAGCCTGAGGTAGGCTCTCTGAGTCACAAGAAGGGATTATTAGGAAGTAGTAAAAACAAAACAAAACAAAAAGCCCCAGTGCCATCTAGCTGGTTTCAATTCATAGTGACTCGATAATAGTTTCTGAGACTGTTTGTCTTTAGAGGAATAGACAGCCTCATCTGTTCCCTTGGGAAGGCTGGTGGGTCCGAAGCGCCAACCCTGCAGTCTGTCTGTCTAACCCACCGCACCACCAGAGTGCCTTTATGATGTGTTCGAGGTGTTTACTCACAGGCTAACTCCGAACTGGGCTAAGGATGAACTTAAAGATAATTCTCTGAGGCACCTTCTAGATCAATGTGTCCGTGATCCAGGTCCTGGGGTTTGGGGGGTATCGGGAAGGCGGTTTCTGGATGGAAAATCCCCCTCCCATGGGCACTGTCCCCCACCCCCCTTCTTCTGCTTAGTCACTGCATTTGATAAAGGAGGAGGCTTCTGGGAAATGCCTTTTGTTCCTTCCCTTCCCACTGTTTACCTGGTTACACTTGGCCTCCGGCTGAGAATGAATAAAGGAAGATGTGAAAACAGAGCAAGCCTCCTGCTCTGAAAGAATGGTACTTAAAGAGAAGGGTCCCAACCCCCAGCCATGCCAGCTTTCCAGCAAGAACACGAATGAATTCTGACAACTTAATCCAGGGTGCAGGATTTGCCTTCAGGCTACAGGGCTTTTTCATTGTTTTCTCCTCCCCTCCCCCTGTCAGCTCCACTAAAGAGAGTCCAGAACTTTCTTCTCTGTAATAAAAAGCACAGGATGCCTATTCATGGCGCTCCTTCTGAAGAGAATGGGAGATGGAAGAATTCTTTCTTCCTCGGTCCCTTCGTTCCTCACCGACTTCCTTCCTCCACTCGCCCCACGAGTTTCTGGAACATCCGAGTTTCCTCGCTTTGGTTTGCTTTAACACCAGCTTCTCCAGTTCTGCCTGATCCAGAACCCTCTCTAACCAGAATGTATTCCCTATTTTCCTTTTCATCCTGTTTTAACAACATTGCACTTGGTCTCCTTCAAAACAAGGAACTCCATGAAATCAAACGCCCGACAGTCTAGTTCAGGGCTTGGCAGACCTTTAAGACGGAAGAGCCTGTCCCTCACAACTCAGAAATTATTCAAGAGCCATACATTTATTTGGACAAGTGAAATGAGCACTCTCTGAATAGTATCCTTTAAAATGCTTCAGTTTCACTTCACATGCACGTCCCCTAAGAGTGGCACATGGCTCCAGAGCAGGGTCTGGCTGGCTCTTTCTCCCCTAATGACACACCAAGAGAAAGCGAACTTCACCTTGCACACAAGGCGCCTGGGCACCTCTTTGTGCACGTCATTGGCCATGCTGGTTGGAACCTTGAAGACCCCACGGCGTCCTCAGGGCTTGTCAGGGAGGAGTCTGCAGACCGGGGTCTCTCTGCGCACAGTGTGACATCCTCACGTCCCTCAGACCAGTTTCTCAACCTTTGGCTCCAGAAGAGTGTTGTTTAAGCAGGTTGCTAGGACCAGCCCCCAAGATCCTGACTCCTCGGGTCTAGGGTGAGCCCCTAAGGCCACCTTTCCAAGGGGAGGCCCACGCTGCGGGCCTGGAAGGGTTGAGACAGACCTTGAACTCTTGGGCATCCAAACCAGCTGCCTGTCTGTGCAGGTGCTTGTGAAAAATGCAGATCCCTGGGCGCGATCTAAGGAGCCCTGGTGGCAGTGGGGTCACATGGTGGCAGCTGGAATGATGAGGCTTTCTGCTTCCGTGAACTCGCAGGGGCAGCTCTGCCCCAGAGGGGTCTCTGTGAGTTAGGGTGGACTTGATGGCAGTGAGTTTGGTTTGGGCATTAGCTACAGAACAGTCCAATTCCTCGGGGTGTCTGGATGGTCTCAGACCCCACTAGCACCTTAAGGAACTTCTGGAGACCACCCGTTGAGCACTTCCTGAGAGGTGAGCTGATCAGCAAGGACACGCCCATTCTCCACACCGCTGGGATCCTGGAGCTGGGAGCATCCTTCCCACCCCACAGGCAAGGCCTGGTGGCTCTGGCTCTTCCCTCAAAGCATCTTGGGATTTTAACAGCAGGCGAGCAAACATGCTTCGGACTAGGAGGGTAAATAAAACAAGATGGCAACCTGTTGATCATTTTGAAACAGGGTTCTCCCTCCAGACTCCTCAGCCCTCAAACCTAAACCGTGGTCTGAGCGGCTTAGGAAAAAGGCGGAAAATGAAACTGAAATGGACTGGGAGTCTGCGACAGACACATTCACTTCACACAACAACACAAAAACAAGACAAAACAAAGAAAACAGTTCACTGGATTTCTTACAATTTTATGTGTATTTGTATTTTCCATAGTAAAAGTTTTTGGTGGTTTTTTTTTTTAAGTCTTTGATTCAACAAATTCATTTTGGGGAATTACGTGAACATTTTTTGATAAAGAAAAACCTTCAGAAATAGAAATATTTCTCCGGTACTTTTTAGGAGTGAAAACTTGAGGGCATACAAAATTGTGCTAATACGAAATGGGTGGGGAAGGAGGAGAATAAGCTGATACCCAGGGCTCACGTAGAAAGAAAACCTCTCGGGCATGATGAGGGCAACATCTGTACACATGTGCTCGACACAACGGATGGACTGTGATGAGGGCTCTACAAGACCCCAATAAAATGATTTAAAAATAATAGTACAAAACAGGCCAACTATGGGACAGCCCTTAATGGAATGTTCTATCATCAAAAAAGATTGGATGCATCAACATAAACAGTGTATTATCACCCTAATAAGGGAAACCAGGAGAAAGACAGGGCTTTCTCTCCCGCAGAGTTCGTCTTGGGAAGCCAGAACAGTCCTGTCCTGTAGGGTTGCTAAGAGTCGGCATTGGTTGGGTGGTGGTGCTTGCTTTCCGTTTAAGTGAAAAACACAGGCGTGTGTTGGATCTGCTACATGGGCAAAACAAGGCAGACTTACACGACTGGCACTGAGACACTCTCTGATGTGGCCAGAATTCGGTCTGCATCCTTGCCCAGCTTGCACTGTTCTCCCTGCTCTGCCCCCGCCATCATTCCCTCCCACAAGGCAGCCTGGGAAAACGTCAATCCGATCACGGCCCCCCTGGGTTCAGAACCCGACAGAGCTTTCCCACACCTGACTGAAAGCCAAGTCTGCACAGGCTACCAGACAGGGCACCTCGCTCTTTGCCCAGCCTCCTATCTGCTCTCCAGACAGACCAGCTCAGGGCCTTTGCATGGCTGTGCCCTCTGCCCCACAGACATATGGCTGGGTGTGCTGCCTCCTTATAAACCTTGCCTGAACTCCTTATCTAAAACACTGCCACCCTGGCTCCCGGATTCTTGATTTTTCCTCCAGCACTTATCGACACCTCCCACGGTCCATTTACTTATTATATCTCCCACTTGCTGGAGCACCAGTTCCTCGAGAGCAGGCTTCGTCGTCTTGTGCTTGGTTGTGCTCGCAGTCCCCAGACCAGAGCCTGGCCACGCGTGGTTCATGGATGCCTTACTAAGTGGAAGATGTTTGAACTACGTCATGCCCCCTGGGAGCTGACAGGGGGTACTCTGGTGGCGCACTGAGATGCTCACCACAAGGCCAGCAGTTCAGACCCACCAGTTGCTCTGTAGGAAGCTGAGGTTGTCTGTTCCCCCAAAGACTTCAAGTCTCCCAAGCCCAAAGGCCCCCTTCTAATTTCTCTTGTAGGGTCACTGGGTCAGAACTCACTCAATGATGGTTTGGTAGGGTGGGCTGTTTCTTGGGGGGCTTCCCCATCCCTGAGGCCTCCTGGCGCTGGCAGGTGCCACTGGGAACTGGCCCTTTTTCCATTGGAGGGCTCGCCTGTACAGCATCTGTATTCTGTGCAGTGTGGGCAGCGGCTAGGAATACCGGCCTTGCAGTAACTGGACTGAAAAGCAAGCACAGGGCTGGGCACCAAGTAGGGGTGCGCTGAGAGGCGGTAACAGACTTTGTCTCTTTCAGGCTCCCCACGCCTTTCATGTCGAGCCTTTATCTGAGGTGAGCCTTTGACAGCCCCACAGGCTTTATCACCATTTTATAGGTGAGGAAACTGGGGCGAAGAGGGGCAAAGTACATGCCCGAAACCCACGACTGAAACTGGGGAGAAACCCTGCTCCGTGCTGTGCCCTCTGTTCCAGAAGCCCCGCTGATGCTAATCAGGAGGATGTGGGCTGCCCTCAGAGCCCCACCCTCCATGGCCCCAGGGGGCGTGGGTGAGGCTGCCAGCAGCGAATGAAGTTGGGCTAGCAGGTCCACGGCCCACGCCCCCGGGGAAGCAGGGCTCTTTCTTCTCTGAATGGGGCTGGGAGCCGGCTAGACAGCTACACCATCTCTCAGAGGACCCGGGATGCAAACACTCTTGGAGAGGAAGACCACCAGAGCCCCGCTCTTACTGGGCAGTCGTTCGAAGCAGCAAAGGCTACCTCTGATGTTTCGAACCACCCATCACCCTGTAACTTCTGACGCAGGTCACCCAGGGGGCACAGGCCTGGCTCGCCCAGTGGGCAGTAGATACGGAGATTCAGAACCAGAGTCCCAAGAGCACACGCTTGGGCGTCACGCATTTAAACAGCAGCAGCTGGGTGACAGACGTCTGACGTGGGCCATCTTAGGCCTCATGGGGCTGGCGGCGTGAAGGCACTGGATGGGGAGGCACAAACTGCATCCCATCAGGGACTCCTGCTGCCCCCCACCCAGAGCAGGTCAGAGGCTGTTGCAGGAGTGCGGGACAGGAGGTCAGAGGGGAGCGGGCAGCCTTCCACAGGAGCCTGGCAGGCCAGCGCACCCTGGCTCTCAAGCATGTGTTCTGAGCACCCAGTGGTGTCGGACTGATGACACGCCACCAACCAGGGTGGCAATGCCATCATCCCCAGCCCAAGGATGGGTGCTCCTGGCTGGGAAGTGCCATGAGAGCAGGTCCTAGCTGCCAGGGGAGCTCAGTGCCATGGAGCAGGGTCTCCATGCCCCAAGACATCCATCCAAAGAGTGGCTGAGGAAGGGGGGGTGACAATGGCTCTGGTCTGGTAGCCAGGACAGGTTGTCTGGAGGCGTAGTCAATACGTCCAGCCCCAGCCTCATCCACATCCAGTTAAGGTCACTTTAGGTACACGTGCTGGTGGAAACGAGGGAGCGGTCTAGAGCGGTCAGTCGTGTAGGAAAACCACTGAAGTCCTCTGAGGACAGTGAGGCAGCCGCGCTGCTTTGAACAGGGCAGGCTAGGAGACAGAGTGGCCTGAGAAACGGTGGGACTGGAATGGGAGGGGAGAGGCTCCAGCAGCTAGCAGCTCAGCGGGCCTGGGCCCCTCTCCTCTTCAGGAAGTCCCTGGCAGGCAGGCAGAAGAGCTCACGCCCTGAGGGATGGGCCCTGGGGTCACCTTGACGGCCAGGCCTGGCTGGAGGGCTCGGGTCAGAACTCATCCCTCGGCTGAGGGGGCCTGTCCATGCCGAAGAAGGAGGATGACTTCCCCTGGAGGTCCCGCTCCCGCTTCACGAAGGCGGTGAAGGAGGAGACACAGTTGCCGATGAAGTGGTCCGCTTCGCCAAGGATGTACAGGTCGATCTGGGCCACCTCGGGTCTCAGGCTCACCACCTTCACCTGAGGGGGGGAGGGCAGAGCAGGTAGGCTGAGGTGGCTGCAGGCCGAGGTGGGCGGCTGGGCCACCTCATCCAGACACCCCAGCCTTCTTCCCTTGGGGTGACCTTAACAGCAAAAAGGGGAGCAGGGCAGGTGACGAGGAGCCAAGCGTCTGGCGGTGCTGCCCAGCTGCTTCCCTTGCCCACGGTGTGGCACCCTTCCCCTGGCACCTGACATGCCCAACGCTGGCCTCAGCCCTAAACGCATCCTTCACTCCCACCTTGGTGCCTTCTCTCGGGCTGTTCCTCTGCCTGGACTGCCTTCCCCGCAGCCCTCAGCGACTGAAGCTCTGACTGTATGCAGGCTTAGCCCAAGGTCCAGGCTTCTCAGAAAGCCTGGGTCACTCACTCTACCTCCACAACTGAGCCGGTGATCGGACCAAACAGGCCTCGCCCTTGTCCCCCACCTCCCAGACAAAGGTCCTGCCTGCCCTCTCCCAAGACACCCCAGGGAGCAGCTGTCAGCTCACTACCAGGGAAGAGCAAGGCTCAGAACCGAAAACAGAACACGGTGAGTAGCTCAAAGTACCCAAATGCATCAACTCTGTGATCAATTCACACACACACACACACACACACGCCCCCCAAAAACTCCCTGGGACTCCCCGCGTGCTCTGCTTGAGCACGAGGTCGGGTGTGGGCAGAGCTGGGGCTGAGAGCTCTGCTGTCATACAAAGATTTTGGCAGAGTGAGAACCAGCCTCCTGTCACTCAGATCAGGACCCAGAAATACTAGTAGCTCCACTGTGGTCAAAATCCCCCAAACAATTCCATCCCTGCCCTGAAACTTACCCACCTGTGTCCTACCCACTAGAAGGAGATCTGGGGCCTCGTGGGTAAACGCTACCCCAACTTGGGGCGGTATGGTCCCCTCAGTGATAGAATGCAAGGGTCGGGTCAGAGGACACCCAAGCTCTTTCCAGCTTGGACACTCGGACTGTCTACAAAATGGGTGGACAGGAGAGGGCATGGGTGCTCTTCGACATAAACCCAAAGGCACCCACTGCTGGGAAGTGGATGCCTGCCTTTGAAGGTCGAATTGTGCATGTGGGGGCCTTCATTCATTCAACATAGGACGCTGACCAGGCCAGCCCCTTTGCCCGTACATACTTCTTCCCCTCCTCCCCAGCCGAGTGAACCGCCACCACGCACCATCCCCACAGGTGCACACAGGGATTTACTACTCTTCCTTAAGCATCACTGAGGACCAAATAGCCTTCCTTGTACCCTGCAGCCACCTGCTGCATTCACCCAGGACAGCTGACTGTACTCAACACTCAATTGGTACCAGGATGGTTTAACTGCTGTACAGCTGACCTTCACAACCCTCCTGGGACGAGGACACAGCACAGAGGGGATTCAGCCCAAGGTCTTCAACCCTCTGCTGCCGTGGGTCTCTACCAAGGGACCACTTTATGTCCTTCCCCACCAACATGGCTGGGAGCTTCCTCTGTGGGAGGCACCGTCCTAGGTGTCTGTCCCTGAGGAGGCCAAAGCATTAGGCTTATTAACAGTGGCTTGGCCTTGAGTCTTGCCTCGCAGGAGCCCTGCACCTTATAAGAAGACAGATGTGTTTCTGCAGCCTGGGCACTCTTAGCCAGACCCATGAACCCCTGGAGTGGAGGGAGCAGTGTGGAGACAGCCCAGGCAGAAAGCCTGGTGGTGAGATACCGTGGTGCACCTAGCTGGGGCAGTGGGGCAACCCTGGTTATTTTATGGGACCCTCCCATCTGCAAACGCCCTCCTCCCACTCTCACGCCTACCTTCCCTTTGAGGAGCTGCTGGATCTCGGGCACGTAGCTCTCAGAGTCCGTGGCGATGTAGACAGACTGGGCGTTGAGCGCCTGCACCCAGAGCTTCACGGCGCGCCGTACCTCCTTGAGGTCCGGGAGGCACATGGTCATGGTGAGGGGTGCCGCTGTGCCTCGGCCGTAGCCCACACACTGCGGTGAGGCCATGAAGTGGGAGCCTGCTGTCCCGTCCTTCAGCATGGCGCAGGCATTTTTCTGTAGGGACACAGACCCGGGGCAGAATTCAGGTCAGGCTACTGCCCCCAGGGCCCCAGGAGCAAAAACAGGTGATTGGAAAAGGGCAGGCAATGCTGGAGGGGCTCAACTGGCTTTTAGGTTTGTTTAGTAAAAACGGGATTGAGGAATACAACAGAACAGTACCAGAAAGGGAAGCTACAACAAAGAGTAACAGGGGCTCTGTGTGTGTGTGTGTTGGGGGGGGGCGGGGCGGGACGACAACGTATTTTCTCTTTGAATTTACTTTCTTGAGAATTCACAGACCAAAACATATACCAAGTCTAGTTTCTACCTGTACCGTTCAGTGACACTGGCTACATCCTTTGATCGGTGTAACCATTCACGCCCTGCTTTTCTGAGCCGCTCCTCCGGTTAAGACAGGCTCATGACCCCTAACGTTTCTAGCTACTCTTTCAAGCTTCTCTAGTCTATTTGAGCCCGTGTACACTACAGCTCTCAAAAGTGCGACACACAGATCTGTTTTTAGAGCAAAGCCAAACTATGGCTTGATTTTAAGATTTCAGCAGATCATTTAAAGATGAATTCGGGTCAAGAGTTTCAGGGGTTCATAATTTCCCACCCTCCTCCCCATGGCTCCAGAGTCTATTCAGCATATCCCTCGTTTTGATCAAGAGTCTTCTACAGAATCTTTGATCAGAATGTTCAGCAATGGAAGGCAGACCTCATGCGGCTCTTCTGGTCTCCTGGCAAAGGAGGCGGTTGTTCACAGAGGCCACTACCCACACATCCCTGTCTTCCTCCTACTCCTGACCCTCCTTCCTCTGTTGCTCCACAGGAAGAGAGGCCCATGGTTGTGCCTTGGGTGACCACTTGGAAACCTTTAAGACCCCAGGCACTACACAACAAACAAGGAGGTAGAAGAATGAAACATTGTTAGATCAATGACCTGGGATAGCCCATGAAAACATGACCTCAAACCTCCAAGCCAGGGAACCAAATCCCATGAAGTATTCGGCTGTACACACAGCCTCTACATCTAGTTGTCCTTCTGTGTGTGTGATTGTAACTTATGTATCACACTTTTGCCAATTCAACTTTTGTAAGTGTACGACTTAGGGACAGTAATCAGCTGTACAACCCTACCTTTCATCAAGGTAACTTCCCCATCCCTGGTATCTCCTGGAGCCCTGGTGGTATAGTGGTGGTTACAAGTTGGGTTGCTAACTTCAAAGTTGGTAGTTCGAAACCACCAGCCACTCCTTGGGAGAAATATGGGGCGTTCGACTCCCATTAAGAGTTAACAATCTTAAGGGGCAGGTGGGGGGAGGAAGGGGGAGCCAATCACAAGGATCTACATATAACCCCTTCCAAGAGGGATGGACAACAGAAAAGTGGTTGGTGTAAGACATGGAAAAAAAAAATTTATAAATTACCAAGGGTTCATGAGGGAGAGAGGGTGGGGGAGGGGGAAATAAGAACCTGATACCAAGGGCTCAAGTAGAAAGAAAATGTTTTGAAAATGATGATGACAACATATGTACAAATGTGCTGGACACAATGGATGTATGTATAGATTGTGATAAGAGCTGTAAGAGCCCCCAATAAAATGATTTATTAAAAAAAAAAAAAAGAGTTACAATCTTGGAAACCCCACAGCCCTGTCCTAGTGTCACTGAATCAGCATGGACTCCATGGTGGCGAGTGTTTTGGCTGTTTGTTTTTCTCCCCTTTTCCTACTCCTTCTTGTCCCTGGTACCCATTAATCAGCTCTGGTCTCTACACATTTGCCTTTTCTTGTCTTCTTAGAGAGGTGCGGTCATACAACATTGTCCTGTCCAATAATGTGACTGACTCATTTCACTCAGCATAATGTCTTTTAGTTCCATGCACATCGTAGCATGTATCAGGCCTGTTTCTCCTGCCAGCTGACTAGTCCACGGTATGTGTGCACCGCATCTTTGCATATCCATTCGTCATTTGATGGGCTTTTAGGCTGTTTGCACCTCCTGCCTGTTGTGACAACTGCTGCAATGGATATTGCTATCCATGTCTAGTTTTGAGCCTCGGTTTTCAGATCGTTGGGATATATACCTAGGAGTGGGATTGCTCGGTCCCTTATAGCCACATTTTTAGTTTTTGGAGGACAGTAGGATGGCACTTACATAATCTCCCGTCAACCTGAGCACAGGGGTAGAGTCTAGCCTGCCAACCAGGTCACAACTTGGACCTCATTTGGAGGTGAGACGGAGATAAATAGCTCACTGGAGGCCAGATCCTCTCTCTCTGCCTTCCTTTCCTGCTGTTGAGAGAGCTGGCGGAGACACGTGGAGACCCATGCCAGTACTGAGATGCTTCCACCGCTACGGGATCCACAAGATCTTCTACCCAACTGGCTTGCGATCATCCTGCACTCAGCAGCATTGTATGTGTTGTGTGAGTCTTAAGAGGAATTTAGAGACTAGTATCAGATACACGGGCTAATTTTGGACTTAGGGACTTGATCTGGAATGGGCAGAGATGTTTTAATTTACAATTACTCTTTGATATAAAACTATCTCTTACACACATATGCGTGTCTCTGGATTTGTTTCTCTGGTCAACCCGGACTAACACATTAAACAATAACCAGTCACACTGTGTTTCCGCATGGCCGTACCATTTTACATTTCTACCAGGTGAGGGTCCCAATTTCCCTGCATCCTGGCCCATGTTTGCTGTATTGTTTATTGGAGTGGGATGGCACCTCATTGTGGTTCTGACTTAACACCAATGACAAGGAGTTTGGTGGCCATTTGAATGCGCTCTCTGATGAGATGTGTATCCCAGTCCTTTGTCCACTTTATGACTGGGTTGCCTTTTCGTTTTTGTCAGAGATTTCTACATATTTTGGTTCTTAGATTCTGTCGGATATGAAATCTCCCGAGATACTATTTTTTATAAATGTCCTCTTCTTGGGCATACTGTATTATCTGGGACTACCAGTAGACGTCTACACAGTGGAGGCTACAATGGGCAGCCTTATCGGACTCCTGACTTTTGTGGGAAGGGTTCTGATAGCACTCTCGTGGTGCAATAGAGGATGTTTGCTGTGGGTTTCAGAGACAGCCTGTATCAAGTTCAGGTGGGTCCTGTCGATTACTGGTTGGCAACATATTGAACTTGTGAACGGGAGCTGACTGTTATCAGATGTTTCTTTGGCCTTTACTGAAATGGTCATATGATTTTTCTCCTTTGGGTGGTAATGGTAAACTTTATTGCATTCCTGAGATAATTTCTGCTTGCTCATGTTGTGTGTCTTTAACACACCTTTGGATTCCCTAATAGTTTCCTTAGGGTCTAGGCACCTAGGTTCCTAAGCGAGCACAGGTGGTAATTTTCTGAGTTGCTTCTACCTGAGTTTGGTACTAGCGTTCGGGTAGCTTTATTTATTTGTAAAAATGGTTAGTATCCTGTGTCGTTTGATTTCTAGGCAAGTCCCTTAAAGCTTTGCCCCTGGTGGCACATGGTCACATGTTGGGCTGCTAACTGCTAAGCCAGCAGTTTGAAATCACCAGCCTCTCCTTGGGAGAAAGATGAGGCTTTCTACTCCCATAACGCGTTAGTCTCGGAAAGCCGCGGGGCAGTTCTATCCTGTCCTATGGAGTGGCTACGAGTCAGAACTGACTGAATGGCAGTGAGTCTGGCTTGCTGAAGTTTTGACGGAAACCACCCATACCCTAAATGGGGCCTGCTTTCTGTTCTTTATGAAATATGGGAAAGGAGAAAGCTTGGTGACTAAATGTGATTGCCTCTTCAACGGACTATGAATATATTTTCATCTAACTCCACACTCTCTATGCTTTTCCACACTGGCATTTCTTTTTTTTTGGTTCAATTTTGTTTTGTTTTTTCATTCTTTTTTTTTTTTTCACTGGCATTTCTAAGACACAAACTTGAGGAGACTCTGGTGATCAGGCCCAGGTGCTCCCACTAAGAGGACAACCTGACCGGGTTCCTGGACATTTGCGGGACCTTCAGATGCCAGGAGGAGGAGGAGGATGAAGCTTTCATTGCTTGGGAGCCCCACCCACTTTCCTTCCCACAGCTTCTTCTCAAACCCGGAGCTGGCCCCCAGAGGACTCCTGGGCTGGCCATCTCTCCCCGGCTTGCTGCCTGACCTGGGGCTTAGCTTGAAAGCTCAGTTTATCCTTCTGCCACGTGAGGCTCAAAGGGCCCTGTTAAAATAAGAGCTGACAGGCAGGTGCTGTGGGGCCTCATCTCTGGTGGGCGGCTGTGGGACCATGAGATATAAAGGCTGCGGATGTGGCAGAGTGGGAGCCCCCAGGCTGCTGGCGGGGACCTAGTGCCCTGAGCTCAGGGGTGGGGAGAGGTCGGGGGAGTTACCCAGTCCGAGCCGATGCGCAGGTGAATGCCCACGTAGGGCCGGCTGAGATGGGTGTGGATCTGGGCCTGTCCCACCTGCACCATCTCCTCCGACCACACCATGTATTTCTGGAGCTGCCGATGCTCCTTCAGGACCGGGAACTGGGCTGGGGCCCCTGGCAGGGCGAGCACCGGGTGTTCCTCTGGGGGAAATCTAGGTGCGAGAGGGAAGTAAGGGAAGTCAGAAGGAGGCTGCAGAGAGGGCCCGGCTGCCCTCTCCCTCTACTCCCCAGCCAGAGACAAAGGCTGGCACTGCACCATGCCCCAGATGTCCTGCACAGGGGCCCCTGAAACACGCAAGAAGCCTGCGAGGTTGTGAAATCTCAATGGGCTGATAGGAAACCTTGGTGGCGGCGCTGGCTGGGGACACGATATGTATCCTGTCTCGCCATGCGGAATTTACAACTCTCTTTTGCTTGTTTAACAGTTAGGCATTTACAGTAGACCATCCCAACCTTTTGTGTGTCGGACTAACTCCCAAGTGGTGGTGCGGTCGCTCCCAAGAGGGCGGGCTGTCTGGATCTGGCTCTGCCCTTTGGTCCACAAGGCAGGGCTGAAAGGCATGGCTGCTCCTGAGGGCCCTGGACCAGGTGCTCTCACGGGGAATGTGTGTGTTGGGAGCCAGGGAAGGAAGAGCCAGGCCTACCCTGGATGCTCCACAGGTCTGCAGATACGGACCCTATTACACCTTCCTTACCACATTTCTCGAAGGATTTCATGTCCGTCTGTCTACCCAGCTGGGCTCAGGCCTCCGGTGGCAGTGGCCTCACGGTGTCCAGAGCACTGTGCTGCACATGCGTGAGCTCGGTCAATATTTGCTGACTGGCTGCATGAGGAGCAGACCCGTGTTCCCTGAGCCCAGCCCGTGGCCTTGGCAGCACAACACAGCAAGTGGTCCATGAGCTCCCCATGCATGTTGCAAGCCCCCTCGACCGAGCGTGCCTTCTTCCCCTGCCAGGCAAGATTCTTTCCTCACCGTTACAAAAATGGGTGCCGCCCTCCGGAAGAAGTTCTACACGTCACCTTGTGTTCTGGTCACTCGGGCACCTTTATGCATGGCCACTGAAGCACTGGAAACGGCCCAGCTTGTCCTTCAACAAGCAAACGAGCTGAACTGCCCGGGGACAGCCTCACCCCGGAACAGTCCATAGCTTACAAAGGGGATCGTGCTTAGTGACGGGAGCCAGTCCCCAAAGGGAATCACAGAAATGGACACCAGATCTGGGGGACTCCTGAAGAGGCCCCTGTGATGACAGAGCTGGGTAGCACCCTGATTGTGGTGAATGTCCTGATCTGTACATGCGATCAGATCGTACAGGACCAAGTGCAGAGCGAGCGAGCGAGCGCCTGTGAGCGTGCGTGCGCCCACTCGGGCACAGGTGAACCTGGAGAGGTCTGAGGCAGACTTGTATTAATAAGCCGATGAGCTGTGACAATGTCCACAGCCTGCTTGCGCTGTCGTTTGCAGGAGGTTCGGGGACCCGTGGGGGACTGTGGGTAAAAGGCGACACGATTGCTTCTGTGGTATTTCTTACAAGGGTCTCCAGAACCCCTTCACTGAAGGATGGTGACCGATGTCCAGGGAGACAATGTCCCGGCTCGCGTGTCTGTGGCTTCCCTCCGCTCTGAAGAGTTTGTAGGATACGGACCTTAGGAAAG